CTACCGGCGGCGCCGTCCTATCCGGCTCGTGCAGCATCCTCTTTCCTCACGCTCCTCCACGTCCAGTAACTCTCCCTATCCTCCCAACCGCTACAAACTTTTCCTGGTCACATCACCGTCCCAACTCCTTCACACCAATCGGTGATAATTTCTCCTCATGGCGACACCCCCCTCCCCCTCTCATCCTCCTCAAAAGTTCATTCAATTGCCCATTACAAAAAAATCATCATAGCCCCAACGTAATAACAAATTTAAAATATGCAAAATGTTGCAGTGCAGCCAGTAATATACTTGAGCTTATCTAAATATTATTTATGTTGTTAATATTTATTAAGTTTACATGAATTATGGTAGAATTTTGAATGGGCGTAAGATAGGGTTGAACTGTTGGGTGGAGTTTTGGCCAAAATCACTTCACCAATGTAAGTCAGCAAAACGGAACATCAAGTTTGGCAGTGTTTATATTCCAATGCAACTGACATGATTCCGCAATGGTTGACTAGTCCATTCTAACCTCTTAAGACACTAACAACTAAGGATAAATTTGAAACTCACCTTAATTGCTTTGTACTTTTTCTTGGTGGCTGTATTCAGGTCTTCATGCACTTTGTCCAAAAGCCACAGGAGGAATTCCTGTGCATCGTGTTGATTGTTTCCTCGAAACTGACTGCCGTATTTATCAACGACAGATTTAAATTGGGTCGACAGCTCTGGATCATACTGACAGGCCCAAATAGCTTTGAGAAGCACAGCTAGCTGCTCTGTAACTTCACCTTTCGTACCATATTTTTTACTGTTAAGTTTATTTCGCCGAGATAAGTCTGCTTTGTACATATCCAGTACAAAATATTCGGCAAGGATGTCTGTGTGACACAAACACTGTAGCACTGCATTGATGAAACACGTATTCCCATGGTTCCGTAGTCCAATAACTCCAGGCACTTTGTCACCAGGTATTTGGTGAAGGGGGCGTGTCGGTGGAACTCTGACATCTGATGATGAGAGTGACACAGTTCTATCTGCACGTCTACGTGTCATGTAGTCATAGTTTCGATAATTTTTATTGTTCACACTAACACTTGACACATGATGCACAACTTTGTTGATAAAATTCTTCAACGATGATATCTTGAACACCTTTTTGCCATTTTTTGAATTGTCACTATTGGCGGTGATATTTAACACACTATCCTTGTTCACACTCTCCGAACTGCCTTTATGCTTCCCCCGCCTTTTGCTCATCCTAGCTTTGCCGAACCGCGGCAGGGTGAAAGTACGTTTTAACTTAGGCCTACTTTCGTGGGGGTACGTTAGGGCGGGCGAGTCCTTCATCTCGATGTCCACCGTGTTTATCACTGGCAGCAGGCCCTCGTCCTTCTCGAGCAGCTCTCCCTCCGAGGCGGACTTCATAATGCTCGCAACGGTCGCCTCCGACATAATTGACACTGTGAGGTGGAGGAACACATCGGGGGCGCGCGGACGCGGCGCTAATTATCGGCCCGAACACCTAACATGATGCGACTAGACGGGGCGGCACCGACACGACCAGCGACCGTCATTCCGGCTAAGGCACTGAGCACCGAGCACTGCCCAGCCATTGGGCCGCGCAAGGCATTGTGGGTACCGCGGGCGCGGAGCGGAGCGCGCGGGCCGGACCGGGCACAACCAACCGTCACCGCGGGGCGTAACGCTAGTAACGCTAGCGGCAGCGGTGGCGCCACGGTCGCTCGCGGGGGGCACGGACGGCGTCTGTCTCTACCCCCGGGAGCGACCGGCAGCGCCATCTACCAGCGCAATGTGGAGGCACGGCCGCGCCGGTCGGTTGAGCGTTCCGCCGAGAGAGGGCGCGCGCCACGCGCGCTGCGGCCGGTAGCCAGCGCGCGAAACCTTGGCGCGGGCGCGATATTTGAAACGCTGCGGAATAGGGTCAAGCATCAGCAAAAATCGCGACCCTCACGCATCACGCATCTGACGTCGCACCGAACGCCCACACCGATGAAATCTCGCGTATAAGAGCGATTATTTGCGAACTGTCACCCTACTTTGTACTGTCAGTCTGCGCGGTGTGGGTGTATCCAGGCATGCCGTCGTCGTGGACTTCGACGAGACCGACCATGCTGCTGTGAGTATCGTTGCATCCGCTGGAATATCGTCCTCGACCCCTCTATTGACCTGACCTTGGTGTGGACTGCAGGCTGATAGTCATGCTCTGCACGGCGCCCTTGTACGTGTTCCCCTGCGAGGGCTGGGTGTTCCGTGGCGTGGTGCCGCAGGACGCGCCCGTGGTCAGCGTGGCCGTCTGGGAGTCGCGGGCGTTCCTGGCCGTGCCCAGGGTGTGGCGCGACCCCCGCGACGCCCACTGCACCTTCCTGCACGACGGCCCCACCCTGCTGGTCGCGCCGTGGCCCGAGCCCGGGCAGCCGTGCCTCCAGCACAACGCCACCCTGGCCGCGAGGTTGCACAGGGCCAGGGCCTTGCTGCGCAGGACGCCCGCCACGCGCGCCTTCCCGAACCCCGAGGAGCAGGAGCTGGCCCGGCCCGACTGCCTCCAGAGCGCCACGGCCGTGGCCCTGGAGTGCGCCCGGGGCGCGGCGCGCCTCTGGGTGCTGGACAGCGGGGAGGTGCCGACGCACGCGCTGGCCCCGGCGGCGGGCCCGGGCAGGGCGCGCTGCCCGCCCAAGGTGGTCGTGTACAACCTGAGGGGCAACAACCAGAGGCTGTGGACGAGGCCCTTCGACGGGGTGCCGAGCAGCGCCATCTCTGGGCTCGTCGTGGACCCCACTACCGAGGACACCAGAGCGTACGTCGGCTACCCGGACGCCCCCGGCGGTGCGGCAATCATCGTCCTGAGCTGGAAGAGCAAGGCCTTCTGGCAGGTGCGCCTTCAGGGCATGACGGTGCCCGGCGCGCAGGTAAGCGACTCGTTTTATTAAGGTGATAACCATCTCATTTTGCATATTTCCTGCATCCCGCAGCGTGGTCACACACTCTTTTTCTTCCCCTGTGCATACAGCCACGCCCTGGGACAACGCCCGCGCCGACAGGACGTCGAGGACGCGGCTCTCGGAGGCGCTTACCACGCCAGGCCATGCGATCTGACCAGGATCCCCGCGAGGCGTTTCCCACGACGTTCGCACCTTCTTCCCAGTGGGACGTGGCCGTGCTCAGGGCCGCGTCCAAGAAGCCCCGGATGGTGATCGCACCCCGGGAGTCGCCCTTCATGTTCGACGTCACGCTGGACGGACTTCGAGGACCCGGGCCGGACGCCAACCACAGAAACGTGAGTACATCGGGTGGCTGATTGGTCGATTCGCCCCCGTCCAAATTTATCATATTTACCCGCCGATCGTCTCTGAACATGCCTTCGGAAGAATATCTGACCTAAATTACTTACCATTTTGGTTCGAACTTACAGGACGCCTTGGTGCCTACCTCGGAGCTCGGCGCTCGACGTCTGGTCCGCAAGCCGGGGCCGGGGCCGTCTTCGGGGCTGCTGGGCGACCCCTCGGGGGGCTTGCTCTTCTTCCAGGCCGGCCCCGATGGGGGTGCCGTCATGCGCTGGGACCCGCGCCTCGGCGCAGGCCCCCGCGGCTACGTCGTGGTCCACCGCGACAACGGCACGCTGCCCCTCACGTCCGCCGTCTTCCTCGACGGCCAGGGCGCGGCCTGGGCGGCGTGCACGACGTTCGCCCCGCACCTCGGCGACGGCGGCATCCACCATGCCGACGAGGACGCCGATGACTACGAAGAAGAAGACGACGAGAGCGAGGACGAGAGCGACGAAGAAAATGGTGTCATCAACAATGAGGATCATGATGATTTGGAAATAGACCATTTCGATGATGGGGATCATTACATCGACAACGCGCCGCCGCCGCCGCCACCACCACCATCACCAACATTCCGGAGGAGTAACAGCTGTCGCTACCCTAGAGCAGGTAAGCCTGACCTTATGGTCAGAGAGAGGGAAAGGGTGGGGTTGGTGGATTACTTACATCAGGAGACACTGTTTCCTTCTCACATCGTCTCTGACTCGGACCTGTACGCGGCGCCTTGAGGCCCGAGCGAGTAGGCAACCCGCCTGCACGCGTCGGCACGCGTGCATGTAGTACAGTCTACGTAAGTGGTTGGGGCGAATCAGCCACCTGACAGCTGTGTTACAAACCCTATCTCGCTTTACAGTGGGATGGAAGATCAGAGAGGTTGCACAACGTCAGGATGACGGCAGCCGCCAGGACTCCGAAGAGCACGCCGCCGAGCCCCAGGAGTACGTGTGCATGTCTCCCGCTGACGCGCCGTCCAAGGCCATCAGAGTGGCGCCCTGTGCGTCCGCTGCTCAGACGGGACCCTCCCGAAGAGTCGCTTCGAGGACGAGAAGACCGGTGAAGGAGCAGGACGACGTCAACACCATGATGATCACCAGGAGGGCGGGACAGTTCGAGTAAGTACTGCTGACAGCGCTCCTTCGTTACAGTAGTTACCATAATGCAAATTGCGTTGTTGTTTTTTGTTGCTTTGTTATTTGTTCCCATGGAAATTAAAGAGGTATCTTTCCTTTCCTACCCTCAGCGGCTCGGGACTCCGGACATCGGCGGGCCACCACAAGACTGTCCTGGTGCACGACGGACACCCCGCCCGCGGCCCCTCCGCTCGCCGCCCCCGCGACCCCACCCACTGCGTCCGGCTACACTGGGACGAGTAGTGGGGACATAATTTCATTCAATGTCTGCAAAAATCGAGAAATAACAAACAAAAACACGTTCTTATAATTTATTGTTAATGTTTTCAATGTGAAGAAATATCCCAAAATACCTTATGGTTGAGCAAGATTAATTATTGATCATTAATTATTCATCATTATTTGGATTGCATGGTAAAAGTTTACTCTCCCACTCACGAAGTTTCATTTAGTTCCACTGTACGTCAGTCTTTGGATGTTATTATTGGCTAGAAGGTTCAAAATAAACTAAATATTTGGTGAAAGTAATTTTTTATTCTTCTTTCTTCTGCGAAAAGTACAAAAATAAAAATATGTGTTCGTGTTCTATATCTAAGCTACGCCACGATTAGGCCGCGAAATATCTCCTACTTTCGACCAGCCAGTGAGAATGAGCAGGCATTTCGTGCGTGGGGATTCCGAGCCGACGAGCGTGAGCCCCCACCGCACCGCCCCCTCCTCTCTCCGGCCGGCGTCAGGGGTTGGCGGCCGCTGCTCCGTAAAGCCTCCGTCGTCATCCAGCGCCTAGTTGCATCAGGTTGCACGCCGCCGCCGACTTGTTGTTGCATGCTGTTGCCCCGGAATGGATCGGCTCGGGTCCAGGGCCCACGTGGGGCGTGGGGGCTCCGCGGTGGGGGTGCGGGGGGCGCGGGGGCCACGCCGGCCGGGGGGACGGTAAACAAAAACACACGCCTCCACTCCTGACTCATCGGCCGGTCACGTAGGGCGACCCCACCGCGACCGCGGGCAGCGTGTAATGCCAGCCAGACGCGGTGCAAACGCGACTCCTGTGGACTGTCCGCCGGATTGTCTTACTGATGCGTATACTATAGCGGGCCGTACGGGGGGCGGTCACGCGGTGGCGCAATGTCAGCCTGAGAGCACGTGCAGGCCCCGGGCACACTAGGAAGGGAAGTTAAGCGGTTCCTTTCGTGGAATCTCCAGCAGTCCGAGCGCTCTGTCCACCACTATGAATCCCAGAAATATGGCATTTCACCGGAATCTGACGACACACCACACGGTCGCGAGGCAGGCGAGGGTGAAGAGGGCGATGTAGACAAAATAGTAGAACTGCGGGTTCCTGGAGAGCTGCGACACCCGCGCCAGGGCCTTGTGGAGCACGCCGTCGGTCCGGTCCAGGTCGTCGTCCAGGCTGCCGAGGTAGCGGTTCTGGTAGCGCACCTCGGCGCCGATCTCGATGGACAGCGAGCGGAGAAGGCGCACCCGCTCGTGCAGCTTGTGCGCCAGCCGCTGGTTCTCCTCCTCCTGCAGGTTGCGGCAGAGGTAGCGGAGCGGCTGGCCCGGGCCGCCCTCGCCCGGCAGCGGCCCCGTGTACCCGACCTTCTTGTAGCTGCCCATGATGGCGCGGCCGCAGGCGCCTCCTCCGGGTGCACGCCGACGACGACGTCCAGGGGCGCGCCCTGCTCGTGCTGGCCGAGGAGCAGCTCGAGTCCTCCCGGGGCCGCGTCACGCGCGCCACTTCCTCGCGGAGGCGATGCGCGGCATGATGGCGACGTGCACTCTGCCCGCATAGCAGTCAATGGCCCATCGTGACCCTCGCGCGCCTCCGCTCGCCGATCTTCCCGCTCGGACACTGCCGCCGGGGGCCTTATCGGGAAACATTTTCTCTGTGAAAACTAGGCTCGGGCACACACTGTGGTGGGGCGGCGCGGGGGCAGGCCCCATAGGGATAGGGGCAGGCCCAGCAGCCGCCCCGCGCCCACCCGCGGTCACCTCCTCCCTGCGAGCCTATCGCCCTGGGCTCCATCCACCCGACCCCAGCGGAAATGAGAAACTTGATGAGCTGATCTCAAGACCAAACCCCTTCCGCTCCCTATTGGGGTCCATGACCCCCCCCCCTCCCCCTTTCCGTTCCCCGAGGAGAGGTTTGCGACACATATGGCAATGACGTGACAATCTCCTTTGCCAATCATCACAGCAGCAGCTGCTGGTCGCCCCGACGTCACGTGCCAGCGGTCAAGTGTCCGCCGTGTGGCCCTTCTCCTTACGTACTTAATGGGATCGCATACACTGTCGGGAAGGGGGAGATCGACGTCGAAATCTTGACGTTATTTTGCACGAAAAGCGTGGAAGCAGAGGGAAGGCCTCGAGGGGGCACAGAGGGACGCCCCACCACCCGCGGCAGGAACCCGTTCCAAGTCGTACAGCGCCACCACCTGGTCGCGAGCAGAACAGGTGCTCTGAACCGGCAGCACCCACCACACCGTCTTATCCAGGGATATGTGTTTTCTTCTCCCCTCGCCTCCCCCTCTTCGATAACGCTGCGTGTGTTGTGTACCCATGAATGGTGCTAAGGTCGGCCAACGGTCGTGATGACGCAACAACCGCCCCACCTTTCATTTACACGGCCATAAAATATCAATATTTGAGCTACTCGAGCCTTCTCCTAGCACTACTTAGCCTGGGAAAAATTACCAAGTCCTGGAATAAACTCGTGATTCATGTGGTTCCCTCCGAATTTCTCGGAACACATTTCGATCCGGAAGGTCATGGGGTGCGTTCTCTTTTGCGTACGTGCCTTCGACCCGATGGCTACCCTGGCCGCAGAAAATTTGACCGCCATTTTATTTGCAATAACTTGCCTTCGAATATGTAACATTTGCTAATTTGTTAGAAAAAGGCGTTTGGTTATTTTTTTACAGTAATGTTGGTTACAGCATGAGCCATAAGTAAAACTATGATAGCTCTTCCATTTCTAGTTTGCGCGACTGCATGTGGTGCGAGAGCTCCCACAGCCAACAGGAAACTACCGACGCTTCGAGGGTGGTGTGGAACGCCCGTGTCGTCATTCTCTCTCTAAACATGGCGGCGTAAATAATATTGTATTGTGCTCTCGTGTTTAACTATTGAAAATGTCTCAATTTGAAGTTTCTACACTCTCGTGCTTTGAGGAATTTGATTCTACGTCTCACCAGCTTTTTAACGGACATACTTTGAGTGGTGATCGTTTCGGCAAAGAAGAAACCCTTGTTGAAGTTTCCAAGGCGAACCCAGTCCGCATACGGAAGAAATTAAGCCACCCGTGCGTTTTTACTGGACCAACTGTTTGTGGTGCAACCAATTGTGCTACTTCAAGAAGAAGCGGACCTTGTTATTAGATTGACATTGTTTACAATGGCACTCAATAGTGCAACCTTTGTTGAGTCAGTGAAGTCTTGTTTGTTTGGTGAAATCATCACAATGAAGCCTATGTGGAAGATTTTTTAACCAAACAGTTTCTCTTGGTTGTTAATTTGTAGACATGTCCCTACCAGTGATGGGGTTGTGTCCTGACAGCAGGAGGACATTAAATTTCTGTAGTTTTATGAAGAAAAGTCCAAACACTACAATGTTGGACAAAGGGGGAGTCACCGTCTACTCCAGCAGCAATGGCTGCACAGCTGATCCAATGATCCATAGTGAGCAAAAATTCCATTCATACTTTTCCCAGACTCCACATTTCCATGAAAGAAAATTTATTCCATCATTAACATCTGTACTCATCGGTGGATTTTTGGGTAGCAAGAGTCAAGTGCGACCCTCCAATCCTCTAATCTTTTGGGATATTGTACGAACAACTGTTGGAGCTGCCACTGAGTGCTTAAAACAGCATTGTGATTTTAGTTCAGCACCATCACCACCCAAGAAGAAGTTTGCGAAAGAAGAAGGCCTTGCAAACTTAGCCATAGTTGACTTCCAAGATTTTCCCTGTGTTGTTGATAAGCAAAAATCAGAAGTTAGCCTTGCCGAAGGCCCCAAGCAATCTTACGCTGAAGTGGCACGAGCACCTAGTTCTAAGCCTAGCCGAGCTAACATATCCAACCACACGTCAGATCCAAGAGATTTGACTGCGGTTAGACCTAGAAGAAGAGGGAACCGTCGTAGATCCCATTCATCTGATCATAAGAACAGTCGAAAGCGCGCAAGTAGACAGCAAGCATCTAACAGTGACAGCTTATTGTCTCCTATCTCAGAGTCCCAATCTGAGGATTTGAAAGATTTGAGGCTGGATCAACAAAAGGAAAAGCAACATTTCAGTCATCTCAAGACTGACCATAATAATAGGAATTGCATTAAGTCAAATAGAAGACCAAGCTCTGAGCAAAGAGAGCAGTGTCAGAAAGAAAAGCAACAGAGTCACCATCGTCCTAAACGCCATATGCAATCCCGTTCTCATTGTGAAAAGCGTGGTGCTGGAGCTAGAAATTTTAACTGTGATATTGATAAAATTAATTGGAGAACTGGTGAACCTATTGTTGATAAGATGGGCTCCCAACATAATGTGGACATGGATACTGATGAATTAGCCTCTGAGAAGCAATATAATGAGAGCTGTACCAGTACCCAAAGTAATGCTGATTGCAATGGTGAGCTTAGGAAGTTATCTGTCTCTCCAGCTAAAGTTTTCATAGCACCTAGCTATGGAGGAATTCTTGGAGGGATTCCAATCTGTAGACTGCGTCGTTCATCTGAATGTTCAGTTGATAGTGAAGATAGTTTCATTGTCTTCCAAACTGGAGCAACATCCGATGATACTCTGTCTGACCTGACAAGTGATTATAGTGACTCAGATACTTATGAGAGTGATTCTTCTGAAGAGGTAAACCTGTGTTCTTATGTTTGCTTGTGTACTCATGTATTGTTTCCAATATTAATATCTTTTTTCGGTTTAGGATGATCTATGCGATGGACTAAGCCCGACCTCATTACGGCTCAGAGAAGTTAATGACCTGTGGCGAAGAGACTATCAAGTTGGAGCAGGCTCTAATAATGCTTTGCAATGGGAAGATGATGATGTAGAAGTCAAAAAGGTATGTTATAATTCCATAATATTCCACCCTTGTCTAGTCTTTAAAGCTATAACTCTTCAATGAAATACTAGGTCTATGCCAGTGGAAGGCTTGAAAATATGTAAAAGTAATGCGGCACACCCTAACAGTAGAATTTTAAAGAGACAGGCTTGTCAAAGGCATTGCATAGCTCATTTCGTACATTAAATTTTATCTTGCTATATTTGTGCTAATGGTTTATCTTTCTGCAGGTGCGCTTTAGTGATTCAAAACCAACCATCCATAGAATGTTAACCTGGGACTTTGCGTACCGTTCAGCAAGACTTGGACCTTGGGAACAGATGGTTCGGGATCGGGACCGTTTCAAAACTCGAATACAACTTTGTGAAAGTACAATATCTCCAGTTCTAAATTGTGACCATAGGAACAAGATTTGGAAGAAACTCCACTCTCAAGAAATGTGATTTTAAGTGTAAGTCATCCATCAAACTAGGTTCTGCAGTGATATGATCAAGAGTAATATGCTTCAAAGCTGAAACAGATTAAATTTTGCTCTTATGAATTGAAACTATTGTTAATCAATTGAGATTAACTTCTTCTAAACTGTCAGTGGCATTTTTATTTTGTTTCCTTATGGTTCATATTTTAGTGGTGATGCATTTTTTTTATTACTTCTTTCTTATCAGAAAATTATTTTCCCGATCCAGCTCTCTAACAAGCAAAGGTCACACTTAAATATGTCTTACTTGTCCTGCGTCAAGTTATCGTTCAAACATGAATGGAAAAACAAATCTTTGTCTTTCATGTGAGCTATAGGTTTTCAGGCTGTGTCTTATCTGTAGTTTAGTGTGAAGGCCAAAAATTTAGCCCTCAAAGCTTTTTCTTTTTTTTGTGAAATTACTAGTACTGTTGAATTCTCATGTAATTTTATAAATTGTACACTGGTCAAATCATAAAACTGACCCAAAACATATTTTCACATCTTAATTGTTATATTTGGATTCAAAAAAACCAAAAGAAAACACATTTGTTATTTAATGTATGCAAATTGTACATTTTTATTTTCTCCAACAATTTTGTTGTTTGAGTTACCAGTTGCAACATTAATTAGTCAATACTGAACTGAGAAGGTGAATTAACTGTACTTTAGTTGCAATTTAATGTCTTTGTAGGTATATTCATGGATCCAGGTATTCCCTTGTGTTTTAGTTTTATCATGAAAGTCCACTCGTTTGTTTTTTAAATTTCACTGTCAAAGTTAACTCTGTCATTCTGCTTGAAAACAATATTGTTTGCTTTAATATAAGAATTTTTATGGTAGTCTGAAGCATTTTTGCAGTTCAACCCATTAGAAAAAACAACCAACCAACCAAATAAAACAACTAAGTTTTGATGTTAAAATTGATCATTTTCATGCATTTTGATGGAGTACCTTCAAGGGAGGCCAACTCATGGTTACTGCTTTGGGTTCTTTAGTTCTTGACCATTCTTTTGTAACTGCTGTGCAGATTCATTATAATATATCTAAATATATATCTATATATGTACCTGTTTTATTAAGCGTACGGAAATGGGGAAATCTTTTAGTGTTAATAAAGTGTGTTTTCCGTGTATTATCTTCCCTAATTTCAATCGTACCATGGGGTCTCTGATGGGTATAAGAGAGTTTTCTCAGTTTCGTGAGAGTTTGTTGGAGCCAAAGATCTAATGGCTATGCTATAACTAATACCTGAGAAATTCGCCACCAGCCCCTGCGACTCGGGCAACCAGGCAAGCTCCGCTTACAAAAATGGCGTGTAGTAGAAGGACGGTGTAGTATTAGTATTCCCGAGCAGTCAGCAAACGAACGTGTGTTTTGGGCTGCCTATCTCCTCGGGGTAACAGCACTGTAGGACTCTGGCAGCGAGGAGCACAACACAGACTCCCGGCTCAGCGGGCAGCCCAAAGTGTTCCCGAGCAGTGTGGGTTGCCTACCCACTCGGCGTCGTCTGGCTGGGGAAGAGTGAGTCACCCGCGCTCGTTGACGCCGAGTCAGCAGCGGGGCAACAGCGGGCGTGGCCCTGGACCGCGTGGACGCGGACATCTCCCCCACCACCCAGGTTGACCACTCCCGCTCCTGCTGCCCTGCCGCCGCTCGTGCCGCGAGAGCAGCGGGGCGGGCGGCATGGGAGAGTGACATGTGCGGAGAAGTATAGTAGCGGAGTGTGCCGCGGCTTTGGGCTTCTGGAACCTTCCAACTGGGGGGCCGCCGCCGGCAGTGCTGTCCTGTCCAGGGGTGGGAGTGAGTGCTGTCCTGCCCGTCCACTCCACTCCCGCGGCCGCGCAGCTCGCCCGCTGGTGTGCGCACAGCACTCGCGTTTTCGCCGGAGTGGTTCATAGTAGTGGTGGACCAGTCTTGATAAAAATCAGTCCACACCTTGGCCCCGCTGGCACTGCTCTTTTCTTGGTTTCTTTTTGCGGGCCCGTGCCACCGCCGTGTCCTGGATCTCCGGAGTGGTGCACTTCGGAGGGACCATTACTCGTTTTGTGCGGCGTCAGCGGGCGGCGGGGAGAGTTAGAGTCCCCTCCCGGGAGGCCGGCCGGGAGGCTGTCCTGGCCTGGAAGACGACCGGCAGGGCGTTGCGACACGGCTGCCACGGCACGGAGGAGGCGTCGGGTGGCCTGGCCAGGCGCCACCGGCACGACGTCCGCCAAGCGGTCGGCTTCAGGAGGGATGTGCCCGCGCACACGCACGCAGTGACACGGGGTTGAGAGGGTGGGGAACCTCTTCGGCGGCGAACTAAAACCGGGCGGTAGCGGTCATGACGCTGGCGGTATATATCAACGTAATGGAAAGGGGCGATCTTAAGCAACCACGCCGCCGCCGCCCTCTCCGCGTTTGTTCGAAGGCGGCGGCTTCTGAACGAGTTACGACAGAGACTGGCTCTGCAGGTGGGCGGCTCGGGTCGGCAGGCGCTAACGCCCGGGAGCAGGGCAGGCCGGGGTACTTTCCTCAGCAGGACACACTCTCGCTCTTTCCTTCGGAGGCTATCTCTCTCCCTGAAACACACACACACACACACACACACACACACACACGTCATCGTGTGTGTGTGCGGGCGGTGACGCCCAGGATGCTCCTTTAACCGTCACGTAACCTGACGCAAAAAAACAACAACACAAAAGACAAAAAAAAGAAAGACAATGAAACAACAAAAACGTATTTGTAGTCCACGTCGTCGTCGGCCCGCATCGATATTGCCTGTCCACTGCTCCAAACTGCGGAGGGAGGGGTGAGGGGGGAAGGGGGGGGGGGTAGACGACGGCACAAGCGTAATCAATCGAAACGCACGGAGATTTAATGCGCGGCCCGACGCTGTCCGCCCGCCTGTCCTTTTGGCTGTCACGGAGAAAGCAGGAATACGGAAGCGGCCACTGACTGGCTGCCTATAACCCTTCCGCGAAATAAGGAGGAGGTGAAAACTTCAAGCACCTCCAGACACTCTCGGAGGAGGGACTTCCCTCTTTCTCTCTGGCGGTAAAAGAGGCATTATTTTCACGTGTGCGAGTCTGATGAATGTGTGCTCGTGCGCTTGTAAGTCACACAGGAGTCACATGTCACACGCACGCGTCAGTCACATCATCGGCGGGTGGCGGCCCCGAAAAGCAGGCCAGGTTGTCGTAAAGGTGTAACGAGAGCAGCGGCACCGGCACACGCACCGGGGCCATTAGAGTGACTTACTTCTACTTCTCGTCCTGGAACACACGGTGGCGGTAGAGGGACGCGGGGGGCGGTGGGGGACGTGCGCGACGCGAAGCAACCCTTGACGACACCCGATGATCGCGCAATTACAGAACGACCCCGAATGCGCCGACTTGCCGACTACTGCTATTGACGAGGGGTTGGGGTTGGCCTTACCTTACCTTACCTTAGGGATCATCTATAGTCGTCCCAGACAAACTTCTCGATTGGGCGGCCGATACGGTGCAGCCTTTCTGAACGACACAGAAGAGCTAGGATGACTCTGTTCGCGCCAAAAGTTGCGTCTTATACAGGCCTAAGACGTCACCAAGTCTTAGGCTTCGAGCTCAATAACTGACCGAGATATGGGCTAAAGACGCGTCGCCTCAGTCGAGAAGTTTGGCTGGGACGACTATAGAAAGTACGTCCATCAATCGCCGTTACGAACCTATCAAGCTTGAGCTACGCGAGCTCTCATGGCGCCTGATGGGTAGGCAACATCACGCTTGCAGTCCATGCGTGTACTGCGGAGTGGCCTACCCCGAGTCTCGCAGGCGCCCAGCCCAGCACCTGCTGCTGTAATTTGTCGAATGAATCTGGGAAAAACGGACTTGTTCTTTCTGGCCGCCCCCTTAGTAACCCTGCCTTATCCTTACGTTACCTTGTCGCGCCTGGAGTTGCCATGGTGCACTCGAGCCGCTTATCCTTGACTCGGCAGGAGTATGGCCTTGAGTGCCGGCGTGTTGGGAAGATGCAGCAAAAATGGTGACATGGCAACAACTTTTCGCCACGGTACGGGTGCGTAAAGTGTAACAGGTTTTCACGCAGCGGGGCGGAGCAGAGTGCATAAGAGGAGCCGGAAAGGAAGGATCGACTGGACTTCTCTAAGATTTAGGGACTAAATGCTGTAGGGTGGCATCAAACTCCCGTTTCAAGTATCATCTTAGAAAAAGCAACGTTATAGGAATACAATTTTCGAGGGAGGGGGGAGGCTCAAGAGGAGAACTATTCCGGGCGATTTCCCCCCACCCCCACCCCCTCCATCTGTTCTCAACCGAACCGCAGCGGGAGATTCAAACGCAAGGCACAGGGTGAAAGGCACCACAGATCAGACTCTTACATTGTTAATAGTTACATCCACACGGTCTTGTCGATTCAATACTATCGTGTTTTTCACAGGGGCGGCGTGTCACCGTCACCGCTCGGTGAGCGACTTGCTGGCCTAGGCTGTCCCCCCGCGCGCCGCACACACCAGCCACACTCGGCCCCGGAGAGACGCGGGTGGGCGCGGCAGGGGGTTTGGCGGCTGCGCGGAGCCACACACACTTTGCAAGACTTATTGCTCGACCTCCAGACGGGCGGGGAGGGGAGGCGGCGGGGGAGGGAAGCCCTGGGCAGGCGGCTCGAGTTACAGGTCGAGTTGGGCCGGCTGCCGACTGATTCCGAAGAACCCTCTCCTACCTTCCGTATAGCTCCGTCCTTGTCGCACTCATAGGGCAGGGCCCCTTGAGGGTTCTTTGGAATCAGTCTGCAGAGGCGCCCGCTCTCCAGCGCGCCCTCCAAGCGCTCTCTCCGCGCGAGCAGAGCCTCTCCTGACCCCACGGGCGGCGGGCCTGTGCTCTCTGCCCTCCGCGCAGCGAGCGCCTCGACCCCCTGCGCCGGGGCAAAAGAACGCGACCGGCGACGACGCGGTGCAGACAGACAAGGGGCGGACAGGGGTAGGGGGGGCTGGGGGGTTATGCAACGGGCGATGAGGGGGGCAGAGAGGATGAAGTGGCAGAGCACACGCCTGTGTGTGCCGACCGTACCAGGCCGGGCCGGGCCGCCGGCCGAGCAACATAAATGCATTCAGCGATCAGCGAAAGCCGTAAATTTGCAAGCGACAATACCGCCCCCCCCCTCCCCTCCCCTCTCCCACTCCGGCTCCAGCAAAGTGTCCTCGACTGTTGTTGGCCTGTGTGGTGTTCCCCAGCCCCCCCCTCCCCTCGTCATCGAACAAGACCTCCAAAGAAAGAAAGAAAGAAAGAGAAGAAGCAGCAACAAGAGAAATAATAATACTACGCACGATGGAGGAGGAATGGATGAGTGTGGACGGGACGGGGGGGAATGAAGAAGAGATTATGTCGCGAGGGGGCTCGTCTCCATGTGGGTCAAGGGTCTGCGAGCGGGGCGGGGCGGGGCGGGGCGGGCAGTGCATGCGCCTTGCGACCACGCCTCGCCACATCCTCTGCGACAGCGGGCATACCTTAATAATAAGTGGGCACGCATACGACGACCCTAACCTTCCCTTCTCCTCCCTTGTCGGTTACACTGCTTTTACTTTTCTTTTTCTCTCTCTCCCCGCTTACCACTTCCGCCTGCCCGCTCGCTCGCCCGGTTGGTGGTGGTTGGTGGTGCGACTTTCGTGTGTGTTTTTCCAGCCGCGTCGCGTCTCTCGGTCTTTGAGGAGTTATGGCCGGCCCGAAGAAAGCCTTGAGTATGGAGCGCTAACTATAACGCGCTGCGGCCGTGTGAAGGGCAGACGGAGGTGGTGCTTTGTGGCCGTGCAGCGCGCGGGGGGAGCAGAGTTTAGTGTCCGACGTCGTGCTGCAGGGTCTCGAGCAGGGCGGGGCCGCCACCCACACCATGGTCAACCTGCTCGCCAAAATTTTGGCATACGTTTTCAAATGCCAAATTTTGGGCTTCTCGCAGACAGTCTATTTTTGACTCTTCGCTTGCCAAAGTTTTCTCCCTTCTGAACGCCAAAATGTGGGCAGATGGACAAATTTAGCCTTCTTTTAAAAGGGATGCCGAAGTTTTGGCAAGGAAGGCGACCACGGCATTTTTGCTGTGCTAGTTTGCACACGGGTACTCTATGCGCCGGGTGACCCGCGGCAAACATGGCGGGTGCGT